CCCAACAGCCTGTGCGGCCCTTGGTAACCCGGGCGACGACCGAGCCGGTGTAATTTTCGATGGCGTCAATGCCATGAGTGGCAGGTGGCTGAATTTGATGGAGACTTGCCACGGTCTCGAACCCTCCTCCTTTCTCATCCGGGACCGGCAGTGGCGTAGTAAATAGAACTTTATTTATAAATAAAAGCTCTGAAACAGCGATTAAGGAAACTATTTATCATGAACTGTGCCCCAACTACTGTGATGTAAAGCGAATACCGAACGTGTCCTTAAACTACTAAGCATACATACTGAAGAGGTAAGTTGATGTTTAAATTACTGAATGCTGGAATTCCAGACTACAGGTTGATGGCAAACGAAATTTAACAAATAACATAGATGCTAGCTGCGCAGCAATAAAGTGCATTAATGAGCAATTGTGCCGACACAGCAAATGTCTGATGCTAATAAATCATGTCAGGTTTACAATAGCCAAAAATGTGAAAGAACGCAAGCGCTGTTATCAGGTGGTTGTAAGACAAGACTTTAGAAAACCTGTGGTTGTAGAACTTAGACTGTAGCCATTATATGTCGAAGGTTGAGGAGTAACGCCCGTAACTTCCAGTGGCTCAGAGAATAACAAAAATAAATTAATTCAGAACACGTAGCTGCGGTCATATAATTTGCAGAAAATGACTACTACGAGAATTGAGCAGTTCGACCGGCTCACCTTAACTGGAAAACTTCGGCAATAGCCAAGGGTAACACTTTGTTAATGACGTCGCTTTTCGGCGACGGGCACCGCCACGAGGCGACGTACACTGAGCAAGCCAACCAAGAAAGGAGTTCTCGCTCAAGAAGACATACGGCGTCATATCCACGCCAGGCAATTCCTGCTATTACTTCATCCAACTCTAACTTTGAACAGCATGCTTCAAACCGACGCTGAGTTTCTCCCGGCGAAACATCGATATTTTACATTAGAGCCATTCAGAGGCAACTTTTATTACATCAAAGTCACTATCTTCGTACGTTCGAAGTTGGAGACACCGATATGATTAACGTTCGGCAAACAGACAGCTAATAAACCGCCTAAATTCATTCACTGTCTAGCCACTACCGTATTGCAGCCGATTCATCCAAAATTATTGTTTTTCCTTTCCGGTTGTCTTTTGTCTTCCGTCGAAGTGCCTAAAATATCGTAACCATGACCGCTTAATCCTCAGAAGCAGCGGTTTACTCACTTCGAACTCGGCATCTCCTGTCGAGAAAAGTGAAATAAACGATTCGAAAGCCCACTGCAGCCGTCAGTACACTGGACTGCATTTCTAGCTTAAAACTTATAACTAATGAACAAGGGTGAGCACGAGGATAAAGTTGGACTTGAACAAATGTAGCATTAATTTCAGGTTCAGCGCTGTCTTAGTTGCGACGGATCTGGATAATTCACATGTAACGCCATAAATCCGATGGCCATTACGATTGGCTGGCCAACCACCTTTCCTCCAGTTTACCTTTACCAGCAAACACATGACCGAAAGGTGCGAGAATTTCTCTACCTTCGCCACTTCTTCGTTTATCTGCTAAGCGCTACGGACAGAGGAACATGAACAACATTAACGCGGTGGACAATCGCTCTACACTCATGTGAACCATTCTAGGTAGTGCTTAATGTCTGTTTCAAAAGGTGTCAACATAACCATGTCTTTGCAGACAGTGAATTTCTTTCCTGAAAATTTTTTGCTCTCATTTAGTAGTCACCCTGACATTCCCATTGTTGTGCAGCACTAGGATTACGCAGAACTAACCCTTGACCGAAACCCGTGCACACTTTGAAAGGACTAAACTCTGACGCGGCATCCAATACAAACATATAGTGAATGCGTGACTCAACTACTAGCCTTCAATCCCATCACTACAGCTACGCCAATGGCTTATTGTGCGTATTTCCACGGTTATTTTTTCTCAACTACTTGTTTCAGGATTTCACTTTCGCATCTCTACATGCTATTCCATACCTTGCTATGTAAAGTATATATTTACGTTACCATTTGGGAACGGTATTTAGCCAGAATTTGCGTTCGATCGATTTATTCAACCAAAAAACTGAACGTTTCGGTTTAATATACATCAGGTAATGACATTAAATTACCTTTCAGAAATTATAACTCGTATCAGAATTTCGTGCCGGCATTTTCCGAACTGCAAATTACTTTCAGTCTATAACGGTATTGACAGATCTCTAAACTATGATGATAGTTTTCCCGAGCATGGGAGCAGCAAATTCCATCCATTTTTAAGATTCGATCGTAAAACAGAATTCAAGAACCAAAGAACTTCGCAGCAACGTCGGAACATTTAGAATTCCAGTTTATTTCGAAAATCAACAAAACTCGAATGGCAATGATTACAGAGTGACGCGAGTATTTTACGTTTACTTCCGTGTGATCGCGTTGTCAAGCGCTTCTCGCTTTTTCTGCCTGTATCCGACAAGCTTCGCGTCGGCTCTTGCGTGACGAACGGTGGCGTACGCCTCGAACTTGCGCTCTTCATCAGTGATCGCGCGAGCTTTGACCTTGTGTATCGGTTTCTTCAGCGGCATCACCGTCGTTCTCAGCTGCGTGGCAAGTTTGCACTCCTCCGCCTAAAGAACAACTGAATTTTAATATCGAATATCCAAAACGTATTGATCTCAAAGGATCTCGACCCCGGGATAGAAAGTCAAAAACTAAATTATTAACGCATAAATACTGTCGAAAACTAGTCCACCCTGGATTTAAAGAAACTGTAACAACATCAATCTGGAGATCTCTTCACAATGAAGACAGATCAACTCCACTGCTGTAAATGAGACAGAACGTGCGGCTTTAAGTTTAACTGGGGATAGGCGAACAAGGCTACTGCACAGAACAGACAGCTGGTAATCTAGCAACAAAACATTTTACTTTGAAGGTAGACAAGAATGAAAAAAACATAGGCATGGAAGTATCTGTGCAAGGGTCATCACAAACAAATTTGTAATTAAAATTTACATCATAAACAATCATGCAAATTTACATATTTATTAGAGCTCATAAATATCAATTGACAAAAGAACAGCCCTATGAGATGTCTTTCTTGACGGTGACCACATCAACTTTCCCACATATGACAAGTTACTTATTGGTCGGTATAAAGGAAAAAACAAACAAAGTGCTGACATATTGTACAGCGTCAGATATAAGAAAAAACACAAAGCTGCCGAACACGACTAAACGACTTTTAAAAACTCATACTGATCTTGTACCTTCCGTTTACCAGTGTGCCTAGGTTCCGGAGAATGCCCTTTGCTTATATTCGGTATAAAATTCTAACTCAGTTTCTAATTCTAGAAGTAACAAGTAACGTGTTCTGGTATTTCAGATCCAGAGAAAGTTAGACTACGATATAATGAAAATGAAAGCCACAGGATTGGAAAATAGCACTGCATTGCGAACATTCTATCGTATTTCTTGAAAAAGACAGAACTGCAGAAAACTCAAAGGCAAAGTTTACGACGCAAGGAAGAGTAATACCATTAAAAGAACTGGTCTCTCCGTTTGTGCAATTCTCTAAATCTCGTGGAGAAATAACTAGACAATTTATCGCAGGCTATTTCTGAATGAAGGTTACATGCTGTGGTATAAACAAATCACGAACAGGAGGCGCCCTGGTAACATAAATCTCCATTTCAGAAAAGCCATCGCGCCTGAGTTGGTCATCTAAAATAATCCCAAAAGGACTCATTCAAAAGAATCATTCAACTTTAACCCCTCCATGAAAACGATTGTTAACTTATTTGGCCGAAGTATTCACAAGGAAACTTTGCATCAGCCATAAGGAGATTAGGACATTCACGCTGTACGAACTGCACATAAAATAAAAACGTGTGACTGTCTTTCCATGTAAGGCTATTGTGGATCACTTTCAACGATCGCTTCATTTTTACCTATCCCTATAGGTTAAAGTTTATAAGCATGAAATTCTAAATGCCTTCCATTATACATCTTTAACTGAGTGCAGAGAATTTATTCTCAATAAAAACTGCACAAAGGAGCCAAAGGCGCATGTAAAGCAGCAAAAAGTGCTGGAATTTAGGTACTAAAGAGGACCTGATGACGACAAAGTACATGATCTTTTCCTTAACAGTTCACTGTGTCAACATGCATCATTTCAACAAATTCTCGGTAAGTCCGCAACTTAATGTAGAATCCTTATTGCTCCAATTGTTTCTCAAGACCATTCTTACTAGGAGAAAGCATTCTAATTACAAACAAGGAGGAACGAATTGAGGGTTTTCGACCATACAAAATCTACAAAATGGTCACAATCGAATCGTTTGATTACCCTGTGTCTTCTTACCAGAGAACACCGACTCACCTGCTCAGCCGAACATCAGAATAGCTTGGATGAATACATTAGGAGGTGGAGAGAAAATGACATTAATCACGGCACTTGAACAAGTCAGAAAAATCCGGCTTAACGCTGCTGAAACTAGGACACGACATGGTTATCCATGTCGAACAACAATGACATTTTCACCCGTCTGTTATAGTGGTACTGCCTTATTGAACATGTGCCGATAACAAAAATGCAGTACTTGAAATTCCATTTAAAAACCACAGACCCATTTTAAGGCGGACAATAGCACTGTACATGTCACACATGCTCTAAATAATTAATCCCAGTTTAGAATATAAAGAATACGCCATGATCCCACATCATTAATGATGTCACATTTTAAGCCACACGATGCAACCTTAAAAATTTAGCCTTCTTATCTGTTGTCAATCAAAAGACAAAAATTAGAAGAGTAACTTACGCTACTATCGCCCTTTCTAGGTTTCCCAGCCTTGAACGGGAAAATTATCAGTCTGGACTGATATTCCTTCAGACGCTGCACGTTTATCTGTAGCGATTCCAGCGATTTATTGGTCCTTCGATGGTCAACAGCTATGCCAATTGTGGGCGCGTAACGTTTGGGTATACCAGCCGCCTGAAAATGCTGCCATAAATCACCTGCTAGGTATTTAACACAGCCAGTCATTTTCAAAATATAACTTACTGAAAAATATTTATTATTTATTTAATGAACATCATAAACACACATTCAATGAACACCGTAAATTACTGTCGCGCTGATCAAGGCCAGCGTCTATTCTGATTTTCAAAATAAAATAGACTAATATGTAATTCCATGTCTGTTTCCAATACACGTTGGACATACGCATTGGTAGATCTACTAATAGAATGTTTAACTGCTACTTCCTCTTCTCATCGAAACGCATCGAAGAGGAACCCGCGTGCCGTACAACCATTCCACCTGATCGCATTAACGAACGATCACTGTTCAGTCCTTTCGATGACATGCCAATTCTAACGAGATCTTCCCATCTCGCTGGAGGTAATCCTAGCGGCCGCCGGCCATTAGGCTTTGTGTCCAGTATGTGCTCCCCAAAGCGGCTATCGTCAATTCGCCTGAACAGCGAATATAAAGACGACACTGAATACCTCTGGCCTTGTACTTCATACAAGCATTCATAGATTTCTTCATTGCAGCCAGCCATACTATTGTAACTATTCACAGGTAGACGATGTAATCTACTTCTTGCAAGACTGCATTACAGAACTGTGCGAGTTAGTTATTTAAAGAAATCAATACATTAAAATCAGATCAGTCGCAATCATGAAACAAAGCTGATGCTCTTAGCGCATAGGAAGACACCATCTCATCACTGTTACCCCAAAGATGTTTCTCTTAATATGTCAGCTAATTCGTTTTAATGAATCTCTAAACTGACGGTATACAACGACATCGCTGATTTTGTTTTTGCAATTGCCGTTTCAGAAGGAAATGAAGCCGTACAATGTTTTATTATACAGCAAGCCTGCAACGTTTCGATTCATTCTCGATCTGACTTTAGGATATAAAAAGCTGCATTAACTTTTAAATGCGACGACACTGCTGACATTGCCTCTGCAGTAATTCTTACAAAATGCTACCTGAACACTGATGCGGTTCGATCAGAAACATCGGTATTTTGTTTAATAAGAAATATATATCAAATTAGTAAGTATATATCTTCATCTTCATCTTCCATCGCCGCTTCTCCTTTCGGGTCGCGGAGGCAGACATGTCAGAGCTTCCAACGTTCCACATCCGTGCCAGAGTCTGAGCTTCGGCAAAAGACAAATGGAATCTGGAACAGACTCCCTCCACACGTTTGCACCAGGTTAATCTTGGCCGTCCCCTGGGCTTTCTGCCGGTCGGATTTGCAAGGAACAGTTGCTTAGCCTTCCTTTTGGAGGCATTCGCAACACATGCCTAAACCATCGCAGCTGTGACTTCTCAATCTGGAGAAGCAAAGGCTCTATACCAAGGCTCTTCTGGATTTCACTATTCCGGATCACGTCGAGACGCGTGAGGCCAGCGACTCGTCTAAGAAAGCCCATTTCAACAGCTTGTACCCGGGTTCGAAGTTTTTTAGTGATGGTTCACCATTCATGACCGTAGGTAAGTATGGGGAGAAAGAACGACTTGAACACCGAGAACTTAGTTTTCAGAATGAGCTATGCTTTAGTCACAATGAGTCGGGCTAGTTCACGCAGAACGCCACTGGCTACTCCAATTCGCCGGTCGATCTCTTCCTCCAACTTT